TAGTTCATCTTGAGAAATCTGGGAGGGTTAAGAAAAGACGGTGAATGGCTGAGGAAGGTGTTTTAGTGTAGAAGAAGCTCAAGTTATAGAAGACAGAGCTGTAGCCAGATGTGTTTTTCTAGGTAAATTCAGAATGCAAAAATTGATGCTTTGGAGCAGGTGAAAAGGCTTGGAATAAAATAGGGTATGAAATGTCTTTGTTGCATCCCCTTCACATCTCCTGCCCAGCATACTTTTTGAGTTTTGAGTTCTACATCAGTTTTCCTGCTCCACATGAGCACAGAGAGCTGATTCCATAACCCCTCTCCTTTCTCATAAGGGTGCTTATCTAAGGGGGGATAGATACTGGGATGTGAATATCAAGAGCAAATGCATGGAGTTGGCTAAAGTGTAGACTGCTCAGGATGGTTTTTTTCCCATTCTCTTGTACTGGAATTGTGTCACTTCATTCACATACGAGGAGGTACTTAGCCCTCTTGTCTCTGGACTACACTGCTTTGGATTGGGTATACATTTCTCATGAGTTTTTCTTTGGAAAAAATGTAATCAGCCCTTCTTCAGAAGTATTCTGACAAGAAGCAAGAGTGGCGTGGTTTCCACCCCTTCAGCTTTGAGCAGGTTGACTTTAGTAATAATTTCACATCACTACCGTACTGTTTGGGCAAGTGACAGTGATCGATACCAACACAGCTCCACACAAAGAGCAAGCACCTACCCTTGCTTGTTCCCTTAATGTGTGCCAGGCTGGATGTGACGGATGGCTCAGATCTTGAATTTGGTCAGGGATTTTGCCTCCCTAATAGCTACACGATCTAGTTCTCAGATGTGTCTTAAGTTGTCACTCTTTTTTTCATTTATTGTCTTTTCTTCCTTCTGCCACATATTGTCTGAAAACATCCCTCCGTGCACATTTGAATTTGCTGCTGTGTGCAGGTCAGAGAAGGCCACAGGACTCTGCTTTTCAGGGGAATAGTACCTGGTGTAATGCAAGCAAATTTACGATTAGCTGTTTCGAGGGTCTGGCACTTAGAGACTGGCACTTTCGAAACTCAAAGGTTTTGAAAAAGCTGCACTATAAAGCTCCAGTCATGCAAAACCATATCCACAAGGTCAACTTTCCTTCTAGGCAAGTAGTTCTTCCAGTTTCTCATGATAGTACATGTGTGCTCACAAAATGAGGTGCTTTATGCAGATGCTAGTAAATTGTCAGGGTGTGAAATATAAAGGAAAACTTCTTTAGCTGCTTTGGTTATGCTAGTTTTCTGGCTGAAAGATCAGGGAGACTGATAATTGCTTCAATTTAATTTTTTTAAAAAATAGTGTGATTGATGGAAGACTTCCAGTTTCTCATGATAGTACATGTGTGCTCACAAAATGAGGTGCTTTATGCAGATGCTAGTAAATTGTCAGGGTGTGAAATATAAAGGAAAACTTCTTTAGCTGCTTTGGTTATGCTAGTTTTCTGGCTGAAAGATCAGGGAGACTGATAATTGCTTCAATTTAATTTTTTTTAAAAATAGTGTGATTGATGGAAGAAGTCAGCGTAGTAGCTTTATGCGTTAATGGGAACATGACTCTGAAAGGTGATGCTGGAGTGTTAATAGGAGTTTTGCTCTTTTTGTCGGTAGTGGCAGGGTCTTGTCTGCTGTTTTTTAAGAAGATGAAGAGTCTGTCTGTTGAACATATGTGGAACTTTTTCTTTAGTCAAAGTGACAAACAGATGGTGTGATCTGTACTTTGGCCCTAATCATGTATTTAGATCCCAGTCAATCCCTATTATGTGACCTAACCCTGGACTGTGGCATACACTTACGATAGAGACGTTATTTGATGTATTTGTGTGTGGAGGGTGCTTAAATATTCAAGCTTTGACTGTAACTTTTATGTGCTTTTTAAAATATTTTGAATCATTATATGCACTTTGTTTTCAAAGTTCTCCTTTTAGTGATTTAGCAATGATTTTTTTCTGAAGATTACCTGCAGAAAGATCAAATGCAAGTCTTCAGAAGACTATGTTCAGCAGATGTAATTGCCTATTATTTAAAGAAAGAACAGACACCAACCAGTTGAAATATTAAAAGAAAGAATTTAAGACTGATTATATGAATATCATCTGAACAGCCCATTTTAATCAAGAACTCATGAAAGGAGTCTTGAAGGTATAAAAGTTTATCCCATCTGAGACTTACCTAGTCTAAATGACTGATACCGGTTTGCCCATTTTGCGAAATGGAGTAGGTGCCGAGCTGTAAATAGAGAGCTCTCCCTCTGGAGTTGAATTAAGCTGCAACTTGACTGTGGCCGTGGGTGAAACCTTCGGGGAGAGAATAAAACTGAAATATTTCTGTAGAATTTCCCAGGCATTAGGTGTCCCACTTCTCTTTAATACCTTGACAATTTATTGGGCTGTCTATTTTCCTAAGAGATATATTAGCTTTACTATATAAATAATTTGACTAAGTAAAATTACAAATAAGCAACTTCCGGAAAGATGTAGTCTAATGCAGGGTATTAGTGCAAATGTGTGCAGCTTTCTCTTTCACACTGCTTTCAAAAATAACTTTTAAAACCGTAAAAGAAGGTACTGCAAATTGCATCGCTAACAACTGAAAGGCACCAGCAATTTTATCTGTTCATGGATGAACATACTCTGTGATTCTGTTCAGCACATTTTCTGAAGATAGTTTCTCTAAACAAGTTTAAATTTAAAGATCCAATTGTCTCCTGACCTGGTCAAATTTATTCTTAGAAAAGCAGCTATTTTGGCATTACATATTAACCTCCACCGGAATTCCTGGGTACCTACATGATTGCAAAGTCCATGATTTCTTGTTAAGATTCAGTTCTCGAAAGACTAAGCACTTCTGGGAATCTTGCTGTCTTTCTGCAGCTGTTGCTTGTCAGCTTGAAAAGATCTTTTGCTCATGACTTTAGATTTGACTTTAGGCTGCTTGCAAACTTACAGTACCATTAGCGAATGACTGTATTATTGGATAAAATCAGTTGAAAAGTTATAAATGTTTTATTTTATTTTGGAGTAAAATGTCCATGCTGCAGTCGTCACAAACTGGTGGAACTCAGGAAAGCGTGGCCACTGTTACTGATGTTCTTATTTTTAAGAATAAATGTGTCTGGTATTTAAATTATTCTCATCTAACTATGGGGGATGGAGAGAAGAGACATATTCCCTCCTACCCCACCCTCCAAAAAAACCCAAAACCACAAGAGGATCTCTAGTTAACTGGGATTCGGAGTTAAGTTTACTGTGCACCCAAAACTCCCACCGATACTCAGGTCTGGGAAGTTCTCATCTTCTGTCATATTTAAGCAAGACCAAGGGACCTAATTTTGTCATTGCACCAGAACACCTCTTTTGTTGAATTACCGTTGCTACTTTTGCTGCACAAATCATTTGTCCTGTCACTGGGGTGTGTGCTGAAAAAACATGCACTGACTGATACGCTGTTTTTTAATGCAGAATTATAGCTTACATTCACTCAAATGTAAGGTATGTATCTCTTTTTTTGGTGAGAATTCAAGGTAATTTTCCCAATGGAGCTTAGGAAAGAAAAAAATATTTCTGGAAAACTATTAAGAATTGTGGAAGCGTGGGAAGCTCACAGGAAATTTTTGTTATCAAGCTTATTCCTTCAAGAGAAAGGGGTAATTATTTTATCTTCCTGTCTTGCAGTACAGGAAGATGCCAATAAAGATTTTATCAAGAGCAACATGCCAAATAAAGGGATTTTGATAAACCACCACTGGGAAGGAGGAGTTTCTTAAGAGCAGCACTACCAGTGCTGAGGAGATGGTGTGGTGCAAGGCAGTAGTAGTGGGAATCAGGCTCCTCACTCCTGGCTGCCAGGTCCACTACCCATGTTCTCAGCCGTGAATGCATTCCAGAGCCCGGTGCGTAAGTCAGGCTTTGCTTGTGCTGGTCCGGCGATGTGAGGAGGCTGGGACCGCTCTGGGCTTCCAGCCTGCGGGTTAGCACGCTCAACCCGAGGTGCAAGAAGCAGCCCCTTGCCACCACCTTCTGGGCTCTCGCTGCCCCTCCTGTTAAAGCCCTTCTTCTTGCGCTTGAATTATTGTAACTGAGATTTGATTGCAGGTAGGAAGCGGGTGCTAGTTCAGTTCACCCTGCTTCTGCTTTAGTGAGCCGCAGAAGAAAGAAGGGGTTGGGGGGGGGTGTTTCTGTCCATGCATTTCCTTGCCTTTCCTACTTTAAAAAGTGCAGTTTCAGGGACGGGGAGGTTTGGTAGCAGCAATGGTCTTTGCAGATATTCACCTGTATTGAAATTATGAAAATGTCACTGCATTTCAGGGTCTTGGAGGTTCATTTGGTTTTGGTGTTGTGCTTTTAAGAGTGTTTTTCCAAAATTATAATCAAATATATTTTATGATTTGTGTGAACTTACGTGTCTCCTCTCCTCTCTTCTTCTCTCCTCTCCTTTCCTTCATTGCCCATTATTTATCTTGGGAAAACATGGTTGGTGAGTAATACCCATGGCAAACTATCCCTGAAATATTACTCCATTTCTTTCTTTTCCCTTTTTTCTTTTTCTTTTTTTTTTTTTTAAGAGAACTGGGAGTCTTCCTCCTGGTTTTAAAGGAGGCAGAGGGTCACCCTGGAAAGAGATAGCAACAAATATCAGCAATTTTGCAGAGCCTGAGTCTTCCCAAGGAATAAGCTTTGGGTCTTAAATCTTGGAAATATATTGCAAGGTGATCATGGTTACTTTCTCTTTGCTTTGGATATATATTAATAAATGTACATGTCCCATTACAATCATTCTGATGAAGGGTTTAGGTGTATTACTAAATTTATTGAAAGACATTTTTTTCCATCAGAAAGATTTTTTTTTTTTGTAAAATTCTTCTCTGAATAAATGCTTATTTTAGGAAAGGATATTCTGTGTCTTTCATACATAAAAAAAAGCTGACTAATTTCTCCAAGAGTGAAAACAAACTTAAATGTGAGGACTTCTGTGAACTCCAGGGTTTTTTTCTTTTACTAACCATGCCTTCCCAGTTTTGACAACTTTTACTTGACTTGTTTGGTCCAGCAATGTGTTTAAATCCGTGGACTTAAAAATTCTTAGGAAATGCACTCTTTACTACCAAAGACCTGCATTTATTGTGGGTTAGTAAACTATCTTGAAGAGGAAGTCTGTTCTTAAGATTGATTTAAAAAAAAAAATTGATTGATACAAAGAAATTGTTTAAAACAGAGATCATTTATTGTAAATGTGGACTTTGTGGGCCTAATCCTGCAAGCATGTGCCTGTCTAGCCCTGATTTCAGCATGCCTAACTTACATGCTTATTTTTAAGCAAAAGATTAGTTTGGAGATTTGAAGCTCAGCTGAAAATAGAGCATCTCAACTTTGAAGCTTTGATTTATTTCTCGCATTTATTTTGCTGCTGTCTGGAGTTACCCTAAGATAATTCCAAACACATCTCTGTCTTTGAAGGTCCTGATTACAAATGAGCCTTTCTCCCTTGTTTGCAGTGAGTGTGAGATCTGTGCGTGGTTAGAGCTGGAGGGGATGGTTAAGAAGGAAGCAGAATTACAATCAAAATACGGTGTGCTAATGCAATTTATCTGGTAAGCATCACTTGGCAAATCAAAAGAGTTGGTGCATGCTGGGATTCGGATTTCTTTTTTCTACAGAGAAAGTACACTTAAATATTACATGAAGACCTAGCAAATGTATTTCATAAGAACAGTGTGCAGGTACTGTGTTTTTTGTTTTATCGTAAGCATTTTAAAGGGCTGACTTTGGAGCACTGAATGGATACGTGTGTGCTTGTTCTGCGGTGTTTGAGCCTTTCAGTGTCTTTGATTTATGTTCTCTCCTTCAGCAGAGGTAACAACACCAGCTCTCAAAGGTGGCAAGTGACCTGAAATGAAAATGTGTGAAGAGCTATAAATTGTTCTAGCCTACAAAAAAGGATCAAATAATGATGTAAACTCAAACTAAGAGGAAGAAATGAGTGATCAGTAGTAGCTTTTTTTATTCTTTTAAATGACATTCAGAAATTGTTCTCAAAATATTCAAGTCACATTTTTCGAAATGATGGTGAAGAACCAAAGCTAAACATGGTTGTCCAGACTCTCTCTCCCTCACACCACAATTACTACTGTACAATTAATCAGTCTTTAATAAGCTGTTGTGATTTCAGAAACATGTTCTAGGATGCCCCACTTCTCATTGAAGATTTGAGTCTTTTTCAAGGTAGATTCCTGTAAAAAAGGCATTTAATTTTGAAACAACAATAGCAATAGCAGATGCAGCTAATGAAGGTTAGTAAATCAATAGTAAAGGTTTCCCGAGTCAGCAGTTTTTAGCCCCTTCCTCTCTAGAAGTATTGAAGAAATACACGGTACATCTCTTATTTCTTATCCCTGGCTTATTTGTTTGATTTCTGGGCCATACAGTTTTGAAAGGAAAAATAACTTGCTAGTAATTTACGGGCCGTTTCACAGGCAGAGTTCCATTTTGCCACCTGTTTTACTTGATGTGTTTTTATATGGGTCATGAGAAGCTGTGGCATTTTCAGTGTGTGTCACACCCAACGTTGTCTGTTATCTTGTCTGGCCCAGATGATACAAGTTAGTGCCTTTTTCTGTGGATGGTTAAGATTAGGGCACGGCTGTGAGCAAGGCAGCTAAAGATGTGTCTAGGTAAGACTGCGTGACTGGGACATTTAAGGAGATGAATGGGGGTTGCAGTAGGGAGACATGGGCCTCTGTGGGAGTGCTAGTCCGTTACTGGCAACCTGGTCTCCTAAAGTAGGAGTGGTTTTATAAGGTTGTGGAACTGCCACATCTTCTTGCATGGAGGCAAAGTCTTGCAGACATCATGGCATCATATACACTGTCTTCAGTTGCTTCTGAGGAACACCCTAGAAAGGGATCCCTGTGCTACAGTGTTCTCACATTTCCCTTAAGATCCCTTAAGGCACTTCTGGTACTGCTGGTGCACCCATACATGGAGTACTCCTGGGCAAAACATGAGTCTCAAATCCACGTGGCATCCTTCTTGCACTTATCCTGCCTCAACTCAATATTCCTTGTCCCCTGCTCTGCTTATAAGGGTCTTGTTTGAATGTAAACATTACCCAGTGGTGCTCATAACACAGCTTGTGAACCTGGGCAAAAGTCTTTCCCAGTGCTTATTGGTGTATATACTAGCAGGTCAAAAGCTTAAGCATTTGCTTCCGTGGGTTTGGAGTGGGCCATTCAGGAGCTGGACAGACAGCTTCCTCTAGCTGCAGATCCCGGGGCACAAGCTAAAACTGCTGTCCTCTCCATTCCCCTGGCATGTAAACCTCTCCTTCTCACTGGAAGCAGCCTCTAGGCTGTAATCAGAGCTCACCGTTACTCTTTGTTTGGGAAGCAGAAGGCATGGGAACTTCGTGGGTTGGTGTGTTTTTAGGAAAAGAAGTTCTCGGGAAGTGAGTCTCTAGGAGACAAGATACAAAGAAAGTACCAAATGTTCTAATTCTCGTAAAAGAAAAAAAAAATCTTTACTGTTGTATAAACCAAGAGACCTTGGCTCTTAGCACTTGTAGATGGTAAACAGAGAATGTACCCATAAAAAGTAGGACTCAAGGTCTCAGTGTGGTATGGAGAACTCCTTCGGCTCCATGGCAGCCAGTGACCATGACCTCCTCAACAGCAGCAGCCTCTCCTGCTGCCTCACCATAGCTGAGTAAAACAGCAGAAATAAACCTGTGCTACGTGAACAGGTTGCAAAATTGTTAAAAAGCCAAGTCTGTCTCACAAGCAGTATTTTAGTTGCTACAGCACTGCATATGTGACTGCAAAGCTAACATTATAAAAGGAGTTTGGACTGAAATATCAGGAGTATTTTCTCTTGAAACTGGACTACATAAAGAACAACATGAAGATATAATGGTGCATGGGCACCACTGTCATCACCACCAGTTAGACTCCGTCTCCCAAGGACTGATCTTTCTTGGGCTAGGTTCTAGATGCACTTTGGCATGTGGATATTAGTGTGCATATAAGTTACCAACAGTTGGGAAGTATGGGAAGTGCTAGCAATTATCAGTTTTTTCACTTTTGCTCATTGAAAGATTATCAGCCTCTTCCCATTCTGTCCTTCCTGTTCACACTGGTTGAAGTCCGTGTGTGGCACAAAGCTGTGTTCCTCATGTAACAAGTGTCCTCTATTCATCTAGAAGCCACCTGAGGAAGGATCTTGGAATAACCTAAAACCAGGTGCTGGAATCAGGCTTAAGTTGCTGGAAACCTGCCTCTCATTGAGTCTGTCAAAAGATACCTTCTTAGCCATTGTCCTGCAAAGAAGCCCTCCATTGTCAGTAACTTTTGGTAGGCAAATTACCTAGGAGCCCGCCAAGGAAACCTACATCCTACAGTGACCTTTCAAGCTTGTCTAAATCCAAGATGGAGATCTGCTACCCAGGCAGTCAAGAAATTGCTGTCGTCAGAACAAGACAGGGCAGCCCCATTAGGGAGGGGGAACAGGAGGGCATCCTTCTGGTCCCTGCCCAGGAGGTGTTTCCAGCATGAGCTTTGGAAAGTGATCAAGGCATTTTCCCTGAGGCACATCTGTAGAGAATCAAATGGGATGCCTGCTTCCATCCCTTGGCTCTCTGAATTCAGTGAGCCTACCTCCCAGGTCCTTCTGGTGCCAATTAAATCTATTCTTCCCCCTTTTCTAGAAACATTTCAAAAAGCTTCCAGGCCCAGAAAAGTAAAAAGTGCTCAGGTTTGTCAAGGTTGGAGTCACTGCTACTAAGCCCTGGAGCATTGCTTGGATGAGTGCCTTAGGAAGAACCAGGGGGAGTGTGCAAAGGCAGGACAGGGCCAGAATAGCTGGTAAACAAACATTAATTACTCAGAGATTCCTTCCCTCCCTTTTCAGCCCTGCACCCAAGGTGTGCACCGGGGATGCACACCCTGGTGTGCCAGCCTGAGAGTGCTGAGAAGGAACCAGCTCCGTATGAATGTTAAGGTGGCTGGTGTTCACAAGGGAGCTGGGGTGTGACAATCTTCATTTCCCAGGTTGTCTGCATGGTCTGTGGGC